ATTTAACAGAGCTTCAATTACACATCCGCACTGAAACAAGAGCCAAAGTACTGAAGCAAATCCCAAGCTGGAATTTCTACATCCTACCAAACACATCCCCTCATATACTACAGAATCTCAACTCCAAATGAAAGCAGAACAGTCATGTAAGGCAGCAAGTTCTGAATGCCTCATTTTCACAAATGGGAGAAATAAGGACTTGCCTGTGACGAGGCAAAGGTGAATCTACAGTTCATAACATTAAATACCAAAACACCTAGTAAAGTCTCCTAATAATTCACACTAACCCGTAACCTGCTTAACAGCATGACATGAACGAAGACTGAGAATATGAATTATACTTAAAATAAGTTTAGTAAAATACTGAAAAACAATTTATCCACTGATTTATATAAGGATAAAAAGAGTCATGCATTTTTGTAATTATTATTTGCCTGTTTGCCTCTGGTATTGCCAGTGTATGCTACTTAATATTAATAGAAGTCTTTTGCCTACTCTATATGCTAACCTGCAATTGAGTTGAGACCAAACCCATTTTGGAATCAGGGAGAATTAAAACTGTGGGACATAACAAGGACTAAAGAGACAAACAAAACTTACCTGTAAGAGAAAGCATGCAGTTCTTAACAAAGAGGAATGTGATCTTATATTATTAATTATCACTCTGTGTAGGTACTTCAGTTATCTGCAATACAGGGATAAGGTGATAAACACTCAGATCTTCTCAGAAACTTCTTATCAGCAGCTTGTGTAAAGGATTTACAGCTCACAGAAAGTATTCCTAACTGCTTGCTGAGGAAATCACTTCAGCCAATAGCGTGGAAGAAGTAGTACAGAACGAGTTTTCCAGCACTGAAAGACAAGACTTCTCATGTCATACACCACCTAAGGTTTTTCAATGAGGAAAGTAAACCTGTGAAAGTTTGTTTTATTATTGCCTAATTAAAATTATTAGTTGCTACAAAAGCTTATTAAATCTGGAATTTATTTGTGCATGAAAAGGCAAAGTATGCATTTCTCGGCATATGTTGAGGTATGCAGCAAATACCACAAACAAACATCATGTGTTTTGTGTCACACTAACATTCATTTTTCCATATTAACATGTTAGGAAAGGCAGGGACACCAGGAGCTGCAGCACAAGACTGGGAATTTGCTTTGCTGAAGCCTTTCTCTACCAGCTACACCTACAGACTCAGTCTGCTTAGGTAAGTCAAGTGCACCAACACGGTCCTTTGGAAAGCAAATATGAGTGGCTAAAATGAAGTCCCCAAAACACACAGCACTTGCCAATTTTTATTTAAGACTTTTAGAGAGTAGTTTTTAAGGTTCACTTTTAAGGTTCATTGCTGAGCTTCCTTCTCATGCAACACCAACTTCCCCCTACTCTCCTGAGGCATGCAGAGATATTAACAAGTGTTCACTGACTGGGACTGTGGCTTCAGGCTCTAGGTGCCCTGCAAACAGCCTAGTCTTGCTCTTGTTGATTTCCCTTGATAGTACTGTGTAGCTACTGATGCGAGAGTCAAACTTATCACCAATTTGTACAAGCAACCTAGACGACTGCAATTTATTCCACACTTGAACTAAGGCACGCTTGCACCATCTGTAATACTACAGGCCTGTGCTGGGTCAGCTAGAATACGTTGATTTCAAGAGAGACTGAGCATGTCTTGCTCCCCCTGCAAACACAGTGGAGTGTAAAATTGCTCCTGCTTTCTTACACGCACTTACCATAATGCACGTGCTCCATCTGTTGTCCACTTGCATTTCTGCACATCCATCTGTGAATGCAATCTAAGAGCAATCATCAATTGCCCATAGGGATAGTGACCAATCTTTGTGCTTGCTTGCCCATCTTGCTCAGTCAGTACTGCTGTACTGATTCTGGAAAGCACAATCTGCAGTTAGGAACAGCTGAACAGCCACAGAGCTGAGCTACAGAACTAGCTCAGCTAGAACTACAGCATACAACAACGACCAGAGCCTGAGAAACAGCTGTCAGAAAAGCTGAATTTCCAAAGTAACACCTCAGGAAAGCACCCCCCCAGTTTATAGGATGGCATTAATAGAGAACACAGTTTTCCTTTCTTTTACTGCTTTTGCTGAGTCAGGAACAAGAACACATAACAGTTCTGGAAGTACCTGGGTCCCCCACAATATTTGGTTGAGCTTTTTGTCCTTAACAGCAAGAGACAACCAGCATAGAAGGAGGCAGTACTGCACTGCCTTGCTCTGCAAGTGCTGTGAAGACAAAATCAACCAAAAATTGCACTTCAGCCTGTGCTGCCACTGGGCTTCCATTGCTGCTATAAAAAAAATAATTTCTCTTATCTAGGTAATACATACCAGTACTTTTCTGCCAGACAAACAGTATGGAAATGGCTCAAGCATACATACATTCCCAAAAGATGGAAGAGGCCTTTGGGGAAAAAAAAAAGAAAGTTATGTTCTGACAGATATCACCTCTGTCAAGGCTGCTATTTGCTGCAGTAAGCAAATCCCCCCCTTCCCCCTCCCTTTCAAAAACAGTGATCTGAAGGGACCTTCAGGCTAAGGTTGTCAAGCTAAGGTTTACTTTTCAGCACAGTGATATCCACAGCCTGGTGTCTGCTGCCCTCCCCTGCTCTGTCAGTGTAATTTGAAGAGCAAGAACAGGACCTCTTCCTTCTAAGGAGTGAGGGCACAACAGGATTGCTAAATTCTGCTGGAATATCCCCAGGAAGACCCAAGAGATGACTAATAAGGCAGTAGGAAGGAGAAGGACTTCATTCCTGTCATTGCCAGCCTGCCTAAAGGAGACAAGTTCTGTGCCATGCGAAGTTAAAGGCAAATTCCCTTTTGTATTCAGCCCTAGAACTGTTGGCCACCATCACAGAAGGAAAAGGCAGCAGCCCCTGTTTTGCACAGATAACAGGAAGACTAGTTCCTCTCCAAACCTCTGCAGCTCTCTCTTGAATTTGTTTCCACCACAGCTCACAAACTTCTTGAGCGGAAGCGTTGCAACCATGCCTTCTTTATTTGCTGCTGACAAGAATTTCAGGCTGAGGAAAGAAATGTAGCCAACGCAACCAAGACAGAAATTGCCACACACCATTAACTTTGCTAACTGGCAACTTCAAACCAAGATGATTGACACCTGGGGAGGCAGAGCTGTATTGCTTTGGCATTTAATTTCCACCATCATAGACTGAAAGAAAAAAAAAAAAAAGCAGTGCAGGTTTTGGAAACATGATTGAACATTCTGTCTCCACCAGTTGTGCAGACTCCGAATTGACCACAGCAACTCCCTTGTGCTTTAACTTCTGAACAAAAAGGAAGCAGGAATTAGGGCAAGCAAGCCACTCTAGATGGGTTTTTCCCCAATGTATGTATTGGTGAACTGGGCTCAAGAAGAATTTGAGGTATAATTAAGACAAATTTTAAGCAAGGTGGAGCAATGTACCAAAGCTGACTTGTGTGGGAGGCAAGAGAGTAAAAATATACCTTCAGTTAGCTAGCAATAATTAAAAAACACTCAACAGCAGTTGGAAATGACTCAATACCATCACAAAACCAGCTTTTAAAAGGTGTTTCTTCAGTACACTTTTCATTTCAGTCATACAGCTGCATCTTCCCCCTTTCCATCCGAACGTCCCACCTTTAAGGCCTTCACTTCCTCCCATCACGTTACCTAAAGTCTTCTTATTGTATTGTATTAAGATCAGCAGCAAGCAGCCCGCAGCAGGCTTCACACCAGAGCCCTTTGGAGGGTTTAGTTGGCTTCATGTTCAGAAGCCACAGTTTTAAACACATCAAACAGCACTTATTACAAAAAAGCAAATGTACAACAGAGAACATTCGTTTAGCTTGTGTTCTGAATGTTTAATTTGCTGTTCCAAAGTAGATTTCAAACAGGTATGCATTTTTTCAGCACAGTTTCTTTGCATGCAAAGATGAGGCAGTATTTGCTCTATTTTTAACCAACTGACCGCGTGATATGTGATCAAGGACTGTTTGATATGAGCTCCAGAACACTGAAGGTCACAGCTTTATTTACTTATCAGCCCTAGAAAGGAAGCAAAGCAGAAAGCAGTAGAAGGAAGAAAGACAGAGACCAAGTTAAATTCCATTTCAGGTGCATTTATTGAGTTATAAAGAACCTGTCAGCTCCACCATATTTACAAAAGTTTTTCAAGAGAATTCTAGAGCTACTTGTTACTGATCCACAAGATAAAGTGTGAGAAAATCCGAATCAACCACATCCATGATGTCAACTGTAGAGATGCTGGTTACCCTTCTAAGACTTTGAGGCACTGATGAATATTCAAACATAGAGAGAAATGTTTTCCACCCACCAATTTATAAAGCCACCAGCAGCAAGACTCTCTTTTCTTCTAATGTAGCTATGCCCAAAGGACAGGCATTCTTCCTAATGCAACTGCTGAAAGCTGGTTTATTTTCAACATAAATTTAATTCATAAAACACACACAATTACAAGGCTATTTAGAAACAAGTAGTGCAAGGTGTTAAAATTCATCTTGAAGATCAAAGCCTTCGAGATGAATGAAATCTCCAGCTGGTTCCATCCAATACTTTTGTGAGGTGGTATTACTGCCAGATGTGCATACCAAATCCTGTCATCTTCGGAGTCACAGTCAAAGCAAATGAAGTCCAACCTGCCAGGGCACTAGCACCATTCCTGTCTCAGGAAGCACTACAGAAACAGCGCCACCTGAAAGCACTGCATTGCTCTTTCCTGACCATCCAAGGCTCTGAAAGGCTGTTTTCAGTCATTTGCATCACTCCAGGTGCAGAAAGAAACATGAATGTTCTTTACACTTACTCACCTTTCCATTACCCACTGCAAGCCCAGAAGAGATCAGACATCAGTGCTCTTCTGTTAGAGAGCATCTCCCAGTTCAGCTGGATTTGTTTCCACATAGATTCCACCTGTGTCTCAAGTCCTCAAGTCCAGCATTACAATACCACAACAACAAGAGAATTTGGGCACATTATCATGTTTTCTAAGCCCACATCCTGACACATGCTGCTACCACTGATGACATGTGGCAAGGCTTGTCTTGTTAATGAATCTAAAGTAATTTTTTTCTTGGCAATGAACATAACTGGATGTCTAGTGAAATCTAATCAGTGCCAGCAGTCAGTGCAGTGAGGGAGGACAAGTATGTTTTGTCATCAACAATGCAACTCCTTAACACCAAGTATCAACTAAGACTCTGAGTCACTATGCACTGAAAACTAAAAACCCATAAAGTCAAGCAGAGTTACAAATATAGTAGTAGGAAAGCTGCTAACAGGGTTTCAGAGAAAACGAGATGAATACCCTGGCTTGTACAAAGGAAAAAGAAACCTACCAATTTTATTCTTAAGAAAAACAAACAAGTAACTTTGTTCCTGTTGCAAGGGCTACTAAAACAAAACCAAAGAAAATCCCAAGCATTGTTCATGTAAGAGAAAGTACCATTTAGTAAAGACATCTTTCATGGAGCTCCTGTCACATTAACGTGAGCTGGTATCTGACCTGGAAAGACTCCTTCCAGTTTGTGTCAGAAGCATAAATTGTCACACTGCTCTCCTCAGGGGAAAAGCCATTTTCACACTTATAAAATTAGCTACCAAGCTGCTCACTGCAAAAAGGAGTTAGTCTAAGGTTTTTAGGAAGTGTATACTATCATACCAAAGAAACTTATTAGCCTTTTGAGATTTGTAGCTGGGCCACGCTGAAAACACTTTCAGCTCAAATACTGCATACACAAGTGCCACCAATGCTGGTAATTGAGGTCAAATGTTGAATAATTGTGTCGTATTAAAATTAAAGTAACAACAATCCCAAATTCACTCTCAAATTTGAAACCATCTCAATGCTGGAACACACTACAGTGCACTCACAGTTCAAGCTTAATACCAAAGCACTAGTCACACTCAACAGGAATCAAGCTGAGTGTGAGGAGAGCTTTATAAGAAAACACTTTCAGACACTGTAGAACATCCTTCACTGCTAAGCTTGATAACTACATGAGCTGCATTTAGTAATACACCTTAAGTGCCCTATGCAGCATTTCTGCCCAGAGGGGTCTACCAACAGTAACACAGCAATATTACTGTAGAACAGATTTGTCTGTTCTTTCCAACTCAGAAAAGCTTAGAGAAGGGCTTTGTATTTCCAGTTTCACTGAGGAAAAAAAGAAACAATTCTAACATGTTACTGGAGACTTGAGAAACTTGTTATTTATGTTCCAGAACTGTTAAGGTTGCTTACTGGGGCTAAGATATAATTTAAACATCAAGCAGGAAAACTTGTGCTTAATTTGCAGTTAAAGTTTGAGTTAAATCCCATTATTGCAAACCAACAAAACACAGTTGTGCAATGCTTTGTGAAGATGGTGCAGGAAGAAGGATATCTTCTAGATTCCTTAAAAATTGAATGATAGCGTAATAAAAGATTGCAGTAGCTCTAACAGTCCAAGCATCTCTATAAAATTCACCCCTAGACCATGAAATGGCCTTGGGGAACCTTTAAATAAGAGAAAGAAGAGTGTAAAATAGAACATGTTTGGAAAGACTGAAAGAATTTATACAGAAATAAAGTTGGCATGGCAATTGGAAGAAGAATCGTGTCATTCTGTCAGTGAATAACGTTGTTAGTACCTGTAACAACCTAGACTTAGTAGTCCAGTAAGATTGGTGCTGTACAGTGCTTTTTTCCCCACTAACAGATCAGGTCTAGTAGATGGCAATAACATACCCCTCTATTTCCACTCCTGAACCATCATCAAACCTAGACCTGAGTGAGACTGCCCTGCAAGTTCCCATTACCTGAATGATGGTATTTCCTTTTGCATATCCATAATCTCACGCTGAGATCTGAATTCCAGTTTTTGAAAGGCAGAGGGTTCACCTGCCAAACGGATTCAACAACTGTCCCTTCTGATTACTTAGTGCTTGAAATTGAGATTTTCACACAGTGCAACCTAGCAGTCATAAATAAATCACTTAACTACCCCACACACACTTCAAAAGTAACTTTCACGATTTTACTTCTCAGCAGATTTTACTTTCCCTTGATCTTCCACTTTTTTGATGGCAGCTTGGATAGCTTCCTGATCACCCAGAAACTGGTGAGGGCCCAGAGGATGCAGATTCTCATCGAGTTCAAGAAGTACGGGCACACCAGTGGGGAGAGTAACATTCATGATGTCCTTGTCGGAGATGCCTGCCAAAGACAAAAACCCAGAGTTACAGCAATCAATAACTTCCTAACTGCTTATTTGCTCAGCCTCATTTCTGAGATTATCCGGTCTTGAAGCATTTAAGAACATAATTCCAGCCTCCTTCAGCAGTAGCAGCTACTCAAGGATCAATTTCCATTCCCAACTAGACCACAGCTTGGTTGGTGTTCTAAGAACAAATACAGGAGGGAATTTCCAACAACCTGAAGACAATTTCTTCATTCTTGGTATACGCATGAACTGTAGAGGGAAAAATTGCCCTGCATACTTTCTTTAAATACGGGACACTTTAAGCATAGATTTTCTACATCTTCCCAAATCATACACACAAAATTCAAGAGGATTAGAGTCAATGTTTATTATCCCAACATAAAGAGGCCTCAGATAAGCAATCAATACAAACATCCTCTTTAAAAATACAGGATATTAAGGTTATTTTTTTTCTCTTATTTTTTTTTTTTTTTTTTTTTTTTTTTTTTTTTTTTTTAAATGCAACACCTTGTAACTACTGATTTTTAAGATAGTTGCAAGCAAGTAAAGAACACTGCTTTCCCACAGCTGATTCCTAAAAAGAAGTTTAAGACATCTTGTCTTCAGTACAAGCCCCAGAATTACATACAGGATACTCATCGCTACATTCAATTGAGAAAAACGCAAAGAAAAGCCAAAAAGTCAGTCTATACAACTTAGAGTGTTTTCCTGCATTTTCTACTTTATTAAGGTGTACCTATGGAGAAAATTTTTACCTGTTTAAAGTACTCCGGGGCTCTAAGCTCAGCAAAATGGCTGGTTATGTTTACATGAAACAAAATTCTACAGATGTCCAATTGAACTTTGAGGCCAAGATTTAAGCAAAGCTTCTGCATAAGCTCTATACATGTGCAGTTAAGAAGCAATGATTAAAGATTATTTCCCAAAGTGAAAGTCTGCTGTTGTGAAACAGAGCAGCTTCAATAACTCATACTTAGAAAAAGTGCACTATCAAGCTTCTAAAACTACGACACCATATGAACTAGACCAAAAAACAAAGAAATTCTCTCAAGCCAGCTAACAAAACAGGTGGCTCTCAGAACAGGAGTGTAAGCTTACCAGTGATTTTCACATCAAGGAGAAAAAGTGGAGCCAACACACACAGAAAAACGAAGTCTCACCACTCAGCCACAGCGGTATGACATCAGGTCAAAAAACAGAAGTAATCATGAGGTGACAATAATTTTATGTTGCTGCTATGAGACTACACAAACAAAACTTTTGTAGTGACCTATTCCTGTTTTGGTTGGACTGAGTAATCAGTTTAGCTGCAAATCAGCACTTCATTTCAGAAAGGAGCAAGAAAAACAGATAAACCCTTGCAAGGATGTATATACCTATTTTGTATTGAGCTATCAGTACAAAAAAGTCACATACCCTGCCAGAGCCTATCAAGTTTAGAGCTACACAGAAGTCCATGGGGAAAACAGAATCTGTTCACCAGGGCACAAACATTTTTCTCAAGAACTTTGGTTTGCACAACAAGCAGCCAAGCTGTCCAAGTCCTTATTTTCAGGATTCTTAAACACATTTCATCATTCAAATGTCACCATGCACCCACAGGGAACTTGGCCCTAGGAACTGTTCTGCCCAGCTCTCAAATTCAGCCTCCCAGACTAAACCATACAGATTTAAACAAAACAGATGAAGTCACACAGGAGAACTTAAGCAAACCACAGAATGTGGTCAGCAGGCAGGATATTTAAAGGTTTTTTCTAAAGCTGGATTAAAGAAGTAGTTGCTGCTACATGGTTTCTGAGATGTTTTACCCCTGCTACAGAACACAGAGACCACACCAATGTCAACTAGTGTTGATGTACAAAGCAGGAGTACAGCCTGGGATAAACAAGTTGAGGCAAGCACTTAGTTTTCTCCTTTGAATTTGTATTTATGGAGTGCTTTTCTTCAGGAAACAAAATGTTGATCACACTTGCCACACAAACTCCTCAGTTGCAGGAAAAATACCCAGAGAACACTCCTTAACAGTCTAGGAAGACAGTAAAGAGATCACTTCTTACCATTCTGGCCATTCCAAGAGCAAGCTAAGCTGCTATCCAGTTACTTCATGAGCTGTAACTATAGCACAGTGACCTTTTCTTGCACTTCATCTGACCTGGACTGTGTCACAACCACATTACATTTCATATGGGAAGAAGGGTACCAGGTTGCTGGAATCAAGTCTTTCCCAGGTTTAAAAACTAAAAGTCCTGCCTACTTAAAATTATAAGAACACACACTGCCGAAGCATTCAGAGTGCCTTCTTCAGAATACAAAACCAGTCAACCCATTCTTTAAGCAGATACTTCCCATGTTAATCTCTTGAGCACCTGTTCCTTAATAGCAGCTGTACAGTAGGAAGCAATTAGATACATAATATTATAAGAATTTTACAGAATTTAGAGAAGAAAATGCTTTCAAAGTCATATTCAGAATTCTTTTCCAGCTCACTTACACTTCATTTAATTGAACTGGATGATCAATCACGGGCTTTTTCTAAGGTGTGAAATACACAATGAGGAGACTTCCACTAGTAGACAATTTTTTAGGATTAACTGATCAGACTCATTACATTTCTCCACAACACTCTACAAGCTTGAAAAATTCACCTGTGGTAGCCCATTAAATAAATGCTCTGAAATACTTGCACTCTGTGAAGTCCTAAACAGGCAAACCCTATTAATTATGAACAAAGCCAATTGTTGCAAGAGTTGGTTCAGCTTCTCTTCCCTCTTACCTGTTCTTAAGTTTTCCTTCTGTTTTTACAGTCTGAGGAACACATTCTGAAGAGCTGGATTAAATTCTTGATTGAAAACTGGCTGTATAGCTGAGCCTTGAGGGTGGCAATCAATGATTTAAGGACAAACTGAAGGCCAGTGTTTCCCAGGAGCTGGGTCCAGGCCTGCCTATCATCAGCGATCTAGATGATGGAGCAGAGCATAACCTCACTAGTCTTGAAAGTGAGGAAACTGGGAGGAGTGGCTGATATACCAAAAGGCCTTGAAGCCACCCGGAGGGATCTCAAACAGGTTAACAGGAACTTCATCAAGTTCAACATGAAATGCAAAATCCTGCACTTGTGGAGAAACAGCCCCAGGAACCAGGACATGATGGGGGGCACCAAGCTAGGAAGCAGCTCTACAGAAAGGAATTGTGGTCCTGGTGGACACCAAGTTGAGCATAAGCCAGCAATGTGTTCTTGATGCTAAGAGAGCTCCTGGACTGCATTAGGCAAAGCATTGCCAGCAGGTCAAGAGGTGATCCTTCCCCTCCACTCAGGTGATGAGGCTTCACCTATAATCTTGCATCATGGACATACTGGAAAGAATCCAACAAAGGGCAGCAAATAGTTGAGGGGCTGAAGCATTTCATCTCTATTCTAATGAAAGGAGGGAAGAGCCAGGACTGTAGTCTTGAGAACCAGAAGGCTCAGAGAATCTTAGTGCCTATGAATACCTGAAGGGAAGGTGCAGAGACAGAACCAGACTCCTTTCAGCGATACCCAGCCCCAGGACAAGACGCAGTGGGCACAAACGGGAGCACATGGTAAGACCCCCCTGAATACAAGGCAGCACTTCCATGCTGTGTGGAGCACTGGCCCAGGTAGTCCAGAGATGCTGCACAGTCTCTTCCTTGGAAGTCTTCAAAGGCCACCAGACATGGGCTCTGGGTGCCCATCTGAGTAGAGCTTGGACCAGATGGACCCAGAGGGCAACACACCAACTTCAGCCATCCTGTGAACAGCTATTGAGAATAGCTACACCCCTCCTCCCTTGCATGTTAACTACACTTGAAGCCACATGATTCATCTCACAGAACACGCACAATCACATGCCTAAATTCAGCCAACAAAGGCCTCTGTCTAGAACTGCCGCTCTGTGGTCAGGATCCAAATCAGTTCCTCGTATCCCTCCTGCAAACTTAGACTAAAGCATCAGTATTTTCATTAAGTTAAACACTCAGGACCAGATTCTGCCCTCCTTAAATGGATACCAGCTGCTTGCAAGCTGGCAGAGGACCTGCTTCAGTAAAATAGAAATAGGCAAAGTGTCATAACTTGGCTCTTGAACTCCACAGCATTTAATCTCACTGTGCAGATTTGAAGGCAAGAAGGAAGACGGGTGGGCTACTGCCACAGCTGCAGCATATTATCATCTACATCTGTTTCACCCTTATGCCTGCCAAGCTTTCCTCCTGTGTCATTACATAAACTGACCTCGATCATGGCCTGAATTTTACAGTGGTCATTACTGAGGCCCAAATGAGATTGTGTAGGAAAACAAACCATGAATCTAAAGTACTCTGATGCAGCCAAGAAATCACAGCCTGCCATGAACTCCTGAAGATTTAATGCACTGAAAGAGACATCAGATCTGCTGCTACCAGAATTAGCTGTCTCCTATACAACTAGGGTGAAAAATGCCCAGGTCTTCAGCAGAGATTCAGGCTGTATTTCCACCGTCATGAACCTATTTCTTGCTGTTTTCAGCAATGAAGAAGCCAAGTTTGCTCATACAAAGGCTCAAGCTCAAGAAAAACAGCAGAAAAACAGAATAGGATGAGTTAGAGGAGGATGGAAGTACATCTTTCAGCAGAACTGATGGATCATCTCAAGCTGATTTCTCTTAACCGCCCTCAGACACCACAATCATGTAAGTAGCATTTCCTTAAGAATATCAGCCTGCAAACACCAGCAAAATAATCTTACTAGGTAGTCCTCCAGAGGACTCAAGCTTGCCCCAGGAATCACAATACACAGCTCCAGCACTTAAACTAATGGACCCACAGTAGAGCGAAAAGAAAAGTCCTTGAGGGCAGCACTCTCTCTGCTCATCTTCCCACTCACCATCCTGCCCAAAAGCACAGTTGCAGAACTGCCCCATCTGTGACCTCAAGCAGCCAAGCCCAAGGTATGGGACACCCACATCTTTCTTCAGATAGATAACCCCTGCCCTCCTGAGCAACTTTTTTTCCCTGAATAATTGCATGACAAGGCTCAGTGACCACCACACCATATATAAAAGATAGCATCATTTCAGCAGGAAGGAAATGCAACAAGTAGGTCTTCTCCAGGACCTCATCCGGAGGTACTTAATACCAACCTCAGAGATCAGTAGTCAGAATGGAAGAAAAATTGAGCCAAAAGACAGCACAGCACCCATTATACTGCTGTCCAACAAGGCAAGCTGGATACAGCTTTTACACTAATGCTGTCTTCACAAGCCGAGTCTGCTAAGAGGGTCTCAGAAGTATCAAATAAAATAACTTGAAAGAATCACCTGTACATAGACCATGCATCCAAGAAGCTTATTTAGTAGATTCTAGGAACTGGTACTTTCACAATCAATAGGAAGTCTCAGAGTGATGTTAACAGAGCAAGTCTGACACTTATTTTACACGCTCTAACTTCTTGCTGCCAGTGCTTTCAGTGCTGAGACATGGTACATCGTGAAAGAAAAATGCACTGTGTAAAAGGCAAGTACAGGTCAGTCAGTGCTAGCAGTGTCACAGAACAAAAACAGCCACTGACATCTAACAAGACACTCCCACTGGCAAACAGACAGCTGTCAGTAGAGGAAGAAAATGTTTTGAAGAACTTCTCCATCCCTAACAGCATGAAGTGAAAGCTATTTTTTTGCTTTACCAGCTTTTAGTTGTGCACTGCATGGATCACCTGCAAACAAAGCAAAGTGCTCTGAAAACTCAGCACAAAGGGACAAAAGAGCAAGCTCTCAGCTGCTGCTGTTTCTCATCGGAGCACACAACAGCACCATCCAGTTTGGGTTAAACACTGTTTTCATCAAGACTATTGCAGTTCCACTTCTGAATCATCTCATGCAAACTGTGACATCCTACAGACAGATCCTACACTTGTCCTGTTGACGTCTGCTCCGAGCACTGAGAAAAGCAAAATCCAAACCTACAATCAAACCCTTGTTAGCCTGACATTCTGCTGCTCTGATTTTTTTTTTTGTGTGTGTGCGCAAGTGGAAAACCACCATAATTCAAGCTCTTTTTACCAATTAACAACAAGGAGAGCATTCAGATTCAGAGAACCACAGGCCTGTTTCAAAAGAAAAGTCTCTGAAAAAGGAACTTCAAGGATAACATGAGAAAATTTTGAGCGAAGTCACTAAGTTTCATTCCAAAAAAAATGAAGCTATTTCATCAGATCAAGTCAATGAAAACATTTAGTGCCATTTAAAATTTGAGCTACAGCTTCAATTATTAACTTAGTAGTAAGACAACCAATTACTCAATTAGGAACAATGCTCAAGGCATTTGAAGCCCATTTTTTTCACTGCCAGAAATACCACAGCTGCAGCTGAGATACAGGAGCCCAGATGCTACTCTAAAGTATAGCACATATGAAGAGTATCATAGAAAGTTCACACAAATTAAAGCCCACTTCACAGTAAGTGCTACAGCAACAGCAGGCCAGCAAGCCTGGAGCACTCTTACATCAGGTCCAGTTCCAGAGCAGCCCACAATCTTTTGGGAGAGAAAGAGAGAAAGTCACCACTACAGACAAGGCACCACTTCTATCCAGATGGATATACACTGGAGTTAAGGGCTAAAAAAATATGCAGGCTGTAATATCAGAAATACTGCTTTGTTCAGATGTTTTATTTACACTGGCACTGACAACAGCCCTTGAGGAATTCTACCTAACTCAAGTCCATCTCGGAAAAAAATAATCCTGGCAGCTACTTCAGCTTATACTGCTCTCACTGATCTCAAAGCAGAGACCATCACCTGCTGATGATGCCGTTCACTCAAGCTCTGGTGCCTCACTGCACAAAACATAGCCCAGGGCTTCCACAGAATTTGCAGCACCCCACTCCCAGAGGAGCTGAGCAAGCATGGTTCAGTTTCCAGGGTGCTAGCAGAGGACACAGTGATTGGGGATCCCTCTGCCCTTCTGTCCCTTTTACTTTAAAGGATTATGCCTGCAATGAACAATTGCAAAGATATGCAGGCCCTTTGATTTCCATGGACTAGTGACACCATTTTGCAGGAAGCTTTCAGACTAGGGAAGGTGTAGATAAGAATGAACTGATGTTCACAAAACCTATGTTGCATGAGCAGGAAGTAGTGGAGTCAGGGCAGTACGCAGAGTTTGTCTCTGAATGCCTGGTGATGGTAAGCTGCTGTTACATCCTCACACAGTACATCACACCAGACTGCCAGAGAGGATTCTTTTGGGTAATACATCATGAGAAGATCTGGGCCTGCAGTCACTTTAAAATCCTGTTATTCCAAACCTAAGAGAAGAATCATGTGAAACAAGCAAACCCCACTGTTTCAGAGCAGATGGGTTTTAGCCAAGCTGCTCCCAAATGCTGAGCTGGCTTTTAATGGCCACCTGGAAGCAGAGATGGGCCACTCTGCAGTGAGCACAGTGCATGTGGCCTCCCAGGAGCTGCTCAACACCTGGAAATGTGGGCAGTATTGGTGGAAGGCAGACAGTTGGCTTAGATGATCTTAAGGGTCTTTTTCCAAACTTAATGATTCTGTGATCACACTGACCACAATCAGTAGAACTGGCTGAACCAGTCTTCCTCCTGCATCCAAGCAATCCACATCCCAGAGTCAATGCCTCTGGGGTTCCAGAAACCACCCACCCAGGTGTCTCATTCTCTGGGCTTTTGAATCCTACTAAAGCATCAGCAGCACTGACTGTTCCAGCAGGCCTGAACGCAAAAAGTGCACAGCAGTCACAGCTATAGAGGTAATACACAAAGGATTATAGTTAGGAAAACTGAGTGGACACAATCTGGTCTTGCAACTGTATTTCTAACAAGGTTCTAAGGTTGCTCTTGTACATGTGCAGTCACTAAATTCTATTCTACTCATGAAGAAATTACTGCAGCCTGTCTTCTAGTTCAGAATTGCTTGTCTTGGATGCTGTGACATTATAGAGAGGTGGGAGGGAAAACTAGCAATGACTTAACAGCAAGCTGCATCTTTTCCAGGTCCCAGATAATCAACCAACTAGCTCAGCTTTTGACTGGTAGGCATTTTTTATGTATGGAAATAACACAGCAAAAGCTTTAGCAAGTACCTACCTGCTACAGAACTCTATGTCACAGCAGCTTTTTTAAGTAAAGAATCAGCATTAAAGCCTCAAATGTAGTCACAAATGTCTCCCACAGCCCAAGACAGTTTATTCTTCTACACATTACAGCATTGCTTGTTTAATAAGCAGATTGTGACTTCAACTCTTCTGACAAAACAGCTGAGTAGATGCTAAAAAAATAAAACAGTGAAAGAGGTTGTACCTAGACTAACTAGAAAATTCAGCTTGAATACACTTGTTTAAACTGGAAAGCTAAGGGAAAGAAAGGGAAAGCATCTACTGCTGCTGCTGGTCCCTCACCCTTCGAGGCGATTCAGAATGCTGGAGTCTGTGAAATTCACAAATTCGAAGAGCCCAGACAACCCACAACTGCTTATCAGTTGGGAAAGATATTATCTATATTATTCACTGAAACAGGCTGCCCAAGGAGGTCGTGGATGCCCCATCCCTGGAGACATTCAAGGCCAGGCTGGATGTGGGCCTGGGCAGCCTGGTCTGGTGGTTGGCAAGCCTGCACATAGCAGGGGGGCTGAAACTAGATGATATGATGGTCCTTTACAACACAGGCCATTCTATGTTTCTTTTATGAAGAACATAGTGCTCCTAATGGCTACAATAAGCCAACTGATCATTCCTCATCCCTTTTACCCCACTGTTTGATTTCTGCTCCAACATTTCTCTTGTAGGCCACAGACATTTAACATTACATTGGCCAGATGAGCAACACACGCTGTAGAGCAAGATGCAAAACTTCACACAGGTAAGAAAAGAAGATGATGAAGAGGAAGAGCCTTACCTTCCAAATGCTTGAGCAGCGCCCTGCTGCTGTTGCCATGAGCAGATATAAGGATCATTTTACCACTTTTGAGTTCTGGCACTATCTTTTCATTCCAATAGGGAAGGAGTCTATCGAGCACATCTTTTAGACTTTCAGCCTTTGGAAGGTTATCCTGAGAGACATCACTGCATTTGTATCGACGGTCATTGTATATCTCTGCATAGTAGGGATGCGATTCAGTTATGGGAGGTGGAGTAACATCATAGCTTCTCCTCCATATTTTCACTTGCTCTTCTCCATGATTCAGAGCCATTTCGGCTCTGTTGAGACCAATCAATGCACCGTAGTGGCGTTCATTCAGTCTCCAAGAACTCTGCATGGGGACCCATTCCTGGCCCATCTCTTCCAGGACCAGCCATGCAGTCTGGATGGAGCGCCTGAGTACAGAGGTGAAGACAAGGTCAAACTCAAAGCCCAGAGCTTTAAGCTGTCGGCCACAATTTTGAGCTTCCTTTATTCCATCACTGCTCAGTTTCTGATCCACCCAGCTGCAGAAGCGATTCTCCTTGTTCCAGGCTCCTTCCCCATGCCTCAGGAGAACAAGCTTGTACTTAGTCATTTTGGTTGCAGCTTGGCACAGATGACTGGTCTGGCATCTAACAATGAGGCATCTGGGCAAAAAGGAGACATACAAACACAACCCACATATATTACTACTTGTAATGCATTATGACAGCAAAGAGCAGACAGCTATCAGGATCAAAACAACCAAAGCAGCATGAGTCTATTAAATATGTTTTCACCTGAGAGGTATCCTGTATTTCAATTTCTTTCCATCCTCAAACATATGGAAAACACCATTTTTCACCTAGCTGGTTGGGACAAGCCCACCTAACCAATTAGTTAGTGGTAGATGGCACAGAATTACAGAGTCCTAGTGGTTGGAAAGGACCTCTGGAGATCATCCAGCCCAACCCTAATTTGGGCAAGCTATTCCTGTCTACAGATCTCCTTTAAATGCTTAAGGAGAACCTCAGTCAAATCAGTGGTTCCCAACCATGAAGCAGCCCTCACTCTGAGTGGTAACTCATTACAGCATTAGAGGTAAAGATATCGCCAGCCTGGTCTGGTCGTTGGCCACCAGGCTGAAACTGAATGATCACTGCAGCCCTTTTCAAACCTGTTCAAAGGCTGTTCTATGATTCTATGATACGGAGCTCCCAAGCTTGTAAGAGATGCCCAGGCCCACACCACCTCTGCTGGTATGCAGGCACTACACAGTAACTGAGTCTGTGTCAGAGCAATCAGAAAGGCCCACCACAGAACTGGAATTTGCAATACACAGAACTTTATTAGCTGTATCAACTGAAATCTGACTATAATTACACTCTTTAACTTGTTTGCTCACACTCTCCCCCTACTCCTCCTTACGACAATCTGTTTGTTTCTTCCTCAGACAACCACTGCCTCCTCATCCACCACCATTCCTCCACATGTGTGTCAAAAACAATTCTGAGATGCAACGCAACGCACAACTACTCATCTCATAGAATTCAGAAGTGATCTTACAGATTATCTTGTCCCCCTGCCTAACTTTAAAGCTATTTTCCCTTTCTGTTCTTATAAACTAGGATTAATGTTTTTATTTTTGCTGTAGGTACACATGGCATATTTTCTGACTCATTAAATACAGCTATGCCCCTGTAAGTCTAGGCAGCATCTATCTTCTCTAGTTGAAGATTGAAAATGAGCTCTGGGTTGTCCTCAGTGTGCTCTGGACTAAACACTCAAACTCTTCCAGTGCAGCCAAATATATTCTAGTCAACTGTGTGACATCTCAGAAGCCCATCTAAGAGCACTACAGAAAGTTGGACTAGATGAACCTAGTGGTCTTTTCCAACCTCTAAGAGTCTACTCTCAAAACCAGTCTGAGGATTGATTTCTGTACATAGAACTTAGTATTTCCTGAACTTAAATGTTTATGGGAACTTGCATTATCTGAAATCAGTTGGAGATGTTTCAATCCAAGAGTCTCAAATTTGGTCTCCCTAAGTCTGAGATCTGTACAGCTTAGACCCACACATTCCAGGTTTTGGGAAGCATCCACCACACCAGCATTCATTTCTACAAAACAGACATTTATTTAAAAGCATAGACTTTTCAGGAGTATATATTCCACCTCTGTGCCTGGGAAGCACATGCAAGATGAGGTGATCTGACACAGCAAGCACAGCTTCACCAAGGGCAGACTATGCCTCACCAAGTTGATAACCTACAGTGGATATACGGCAGCAGCGGACAAAGGAAGAGCAACTGATGTTATCTACCTGGATTTCTGCAAAGCCTTTGATATGGTTCCACACCACATCCTTATCTCTAAATTGGAGAGAGAAGTGTGGACTATTCAGTGGGTAAGGAATTGGTCAGATGGTCACAGCCAGAAGATTATAGTCAGCATCTCTATGTCCAGGTGGAGGCTGATGATGAGTGGTGTCCCCCAGGGAACAGTCATGGGACCGGTGCTTTTATCATCTTTATCAAAGACCTAGACAGTGAGATCAAGTGTACCCTCAGCAAGTTTGCAGATGACATTAAGCTGAGGGGTGCAGCTGATGCAACAAAGTGAAGGGATGCCATCCAAAGGGACCTGAACAAGCTTGAAAAGTGGACATACATAAACCTGATGAGGTTCGAGGCCAAGTGCAAAGTGCTACACCTGGATCAGGGCAATGCCAGATATGTCTATAGACTGGGAAAAGAACTCATTGAGAGTCAGCCACCTCACCTTCTCTAATCCCCCCTCCTCTCTCTCCCAGGAGCAGAGAAGAACGAGGTCTCAGCCTCCTCTTCTCCAAAATGAATAGCCCCTAGATTCCTTCACCACTCCTTATTAAATCTCGTTTCCTGATCCTCTCACCAGCTTCTCTGCACACATCCAAACTCATTACTATGCTCCTTTGCAGTGAGGAGCGCAGAACTGAACACTTCAAGGTGCAGTCACTCAAGTGTCAAGTACAGAAGGGAAAAATGTTACTAGCCCTGTCCTGCTGGCCATACTATTTCTGATGCAGGCCAGGATATAATCAGCTTTCTCAGTCAAACACAGCACTAGCTCATGTTCCATTGGCTGTCAATCAGCAACCCCAGGTCATTTGCTGGGGGCAATTTTCCACCTACCTTCCCCTAGTCTATACCACTGCATGGAGTTATGACCCATGCAGGACCTGGCACTTACTCTTGTTCAATTTCACATGCTTGCGTGCAGTCCTTTTATCCAGCCTACACAGACCCCTCTGCAAGTCAGATCAACAATCCTGCCTTACACTACAAGCTAAGCTGACATGCACTCAATACCCTACATTCAGATAAGAGATAAGAGCATTAAACAAAAATCAGCCCCCATACTGATCTCTGGTGAGCACCACTGGTGATCAGCCACCAGTTGGATTTTAATTCCACTCATTCTTTGGGCCTAGCCATTCAGTCAGTTCTTCACCCAGCAACCTGTACACCTGCCATGAGCAGACCAGTTTCTCCAGAAGAATACAGTGGCAAATGGTGCCCAACACTATACTACAACCCAGGTAAACACCCAGAGCCTTTACCTCATCTATGAAACAGGTCACCTTGTCATGGAACGAGATCAAGTTAGTCAGGCAGGACCTGCTCTTCTTAAATCCACACTGACTGCTTCTGATCACTGTTATCCCACACATGCCATGTGATGGCATTCAAGATGATCTGTTCCATAACCTTCCCTGGTACTGAAGCCAGACTGACAGGCCTGCAATTCTCTGGATCCTGAATTCTTCTTCCCCGAATTCTTGCAGATCAGAATCACATTCATCAACATCCAGTCAGCTGGGACCTCTCTAGCAACCCAGGACCAATGGTAAATTACTACACATACTTTGAGTGAGCACCTCCAACAACTCCTTCAGTTGGAATCCCATCCAGACCTGGAGGCTTAAGAACATTAAATATACAGTAGGTCACCCCTTTGGATTACAGGGACTTCATTTCACTCCCTGTCAGTATTCCAGCTCTGGGGGCTGGGTACTCTGCAAGCAATTGACCTTAAAAATACCAAGGCTACAAATGCATTCAGTATCCCAACCTTACATTTCATCACTGCACTTCCTCTCACATCCAATAAGTAATCGAGATTCTCCTTAATCTTCCTTTTGCTGATGATATATTAACAGAATCACTTAATCTTCTTTAACTGCACTAGTCAAATTGAAATCCAGCTGGGCTTTGGCCCTTACAATTTCATCTCTGCACAGCCTGACAACAACTCTATAGTTTCCCGCTCCTTCTTCTACAGTTCATAAAACTTTCCACCTTGAATTCCCAAATAACTTCTATTCAGCTAGGCCAGAGTTCCTTCCCACCAGCTTGACTTTCAGTGTATTTAGGATTGCCTGCTTCTGCATTTCCAGAGTTTCTTTCTTGAAAAAGGTCCAGCTTCCCTGGACTCCTTCACCTTTCAGAACCACTTCCAAGAGACTTCTGTCAACCAGGTCTCCAAACAGGCTGAAAATTGCCCTCTAGAAATTTGGTGCAAGAGTTCTGCTAACCATCTTTCTTCACCAAGGATCATTTCATGATCACTGCGCCTGAGACAGCCTCCAACCACCACTTCATTTGCAAGTCCTTCCTTGTTCTCAAACAACAGGTGACCTCCCTAGTGAGCTCACTCATCACCTGCATCATCCACACATTCCAAGAATCCCCTAGACCTTCTTCCTTGTACTGCATTTCATGAGAACATGAGAACAGTCATGAGAACAAGGGCTAGCAATCATAAGACTTCTATCTGTTTACAGAACATTGCATCTTCCTTTCCACCTTGACTGGACGGTCTACGATAGGCCCTCACTATAATATCAGCCTTACTGGCTTTTACTCTGAAACACTCAATCCTTTCATCACCATTGCTCAGCTCCACACAGTCAAAGCACTCCCTAACACACAGGGCTACCCACCTCAGCTCCTTTCCTAACTCTTGAAGAGCCCAAATAAGATCTATTCCAGCACTCCAGGCATACGAGTCATCCCACCATGTCTCACTGAGGCCAATTATATCATAGCCCTGAGATTTAACTAAGACTTCCAATCTTTTTTTTTCCCCCCAAGTCATATGATTTGTGTATAGGCACACAAGCTGGGTTCCCAATGAAACTATTTTGTCAGATGAAGTAGCTGAAATTTCTTTGTGTTGTTCCTTAGGTGTTTCCCTGAAGACCTCTGATCTCTCTCCCAGCCCTGGGCACCTGCTGCTGGCACTGGCATTAAACCAACCAGTCCAGTGGACTGAAGTTCTCCCATTTCAGCAGCTTTAAAGCTCTCTTCATCAGCTTGACAAGGCTGATGCTCTTCCTCTCCTCTGACAGACAGACCCCATCAGTTCCCAGCAAATCAGGTTTATTAGAGTCCTAAAGTATAAATTAAAAAATCTAGCAGGCTAGGTTAGCAAAAGGGCACCTCTTATCCCCACAGCATGAAGTCCCCTACTGTTATCACCCATTGCTGTTTCTTGTTTGGACAGATCATTATATGGGGGACAGATCAAGCTGACTTAGTCAACACCTACTTCTCCACTGACACACTGGATTCTTCATCCACAGTCCAGCAGTTCTGGGGCACCTTATACAATACAGAAAGCCTCTTCCTCCTGCTGGTCCTTGGTGTAAAACTTATATTTGTGTTTTCTACTTCACTGTCTTCCGTTTGGTCTTGAGGGGACGTTTCTGGCTGTGAGTTCATGGCAGAACACACATGGAACCACCTGCCTCTCTCTTTGTATTTCCTGACAGCACACAGTTTTATCACCACTTCTTGCAGCTCAGCTATCTGCTGCAAGAGGTCCTCCACCTGGGCACACCTTTTGCAGGCATGTTCAGTAGGTGGAGGAGACAACACAGTTGGAGCTGCAGCCTTTAATGAGCGCCCAACATCCCATCTCAGCAACTACAACCACACAGACTCCAGCAAACAATCAGGGTACACAAACTGCCACACCCTTCTTTTGTTTACCATCACTAGCACTTCCCAGAGCCGCCTCTTCTAGGGTTGCTGTTGGCTACCCAAGCCTCATCAATTTCTTGCGAGAACTGGCAGCTTCGGACCTCACTGTCACCCAGGAGTTCTATAGCTCATGAAACCACACTGCACACCACAATCCACTACTTAGCAAATTGACCAGCTCCACAACAGGATGACCGCTATTCAGACCAACAATTGTCCACAGGAACAAATTAAGTCATTCACAAGGCCACCTTAAGACCCAATGCAAAAAACAAGATCCAACAATAGAGGTGCACCTGTTCACACATGCTCCTATTTGGGTACTTGGACCTAAAACCTAGTATCATCTGGGGACAACAAACTCTAGTTTGAAAACAAAAAACTAAGCAAAGCCACCACTCTGAAACAAGTTTACAGAGAACTGGCAGTCACAAGGTTGTTTAAATATCAGGCTACTCACAGAGCATTTAAATGAAAAGCCTCAGAGCAACACATGGAAATAATCCTACTCACCTTCCCTATGGCAAAGGAAGAGACTTCAAAGCTACTCTTTCCACACAGAACACCTGGAGCTCTCGGTTAGTTACCTGCAGGAAGAGAACAAACACCAAATGCTCACACACAAAGACCACAAGTGCAAATAGTTACACTAATCATAATTTGCTTTCAGAGCTGGAAGAAAGCAGAGCACACATCCCTTGCACGAGTTGGGAAAGCTACCTGTTTCCCTGTCCCAGAAAGATGCAAATGAACAACTCCTGCAATTCCAGCAAAGGAAAGTTATTTGTCTCCTAACGCCCCACATCATTTGCTCCCTAAGATTCATTTATACCGCAATTACTGCAGCTCTACTGTGCAGAAAACTACTAGAAACTCCAGAACTCACAGAAGGATGCAGGCAGCAGACCAGGGCCAAACATAACACAGGCACTCTGGAGACCTAGCTCCACACATCACAGTAGAGCTAGCTCAGGACGACCTCTCATCTCGGCAGAGCAACCAGCCCGGCAAAGCTTTTAAGGTCTAGCTTCCACGACAAGCTCACCTGGCTCGATCCCTTTACAAAGCCGCCCCGTCGCGATGCAGCCACCTCCGGGCCTCCCCTAAGAAAACAGAGGGTCACCAGAGCGTTGCTCCCCGCCCCACCCGCACACCGTGCCTCGCCGCCTCCCTCTTGCAGCCCCCCCTCCCTTCGCGGACCCCGCTCTCCGTCACGGCCAAGGGACGGCCGGGCACCCACACCCTCATGCCGGTTGCTGTCCCCGGACCGCCCCCACCGCATAACCCGCTATCCGCCCTCCCCCCCGCGGCTCTATCGAATCAGCGGCCGCAATCTTAGCGGCCTCACCCGGAGGGCGATAGCAGGCCGCGGCCCGTCCGCAATGCTACAGCGGTATCTCAAGCCCGACCCGCACCCCGCGACAGCCCTCTCCCGCCGCCGGAAAGCTAGTGTCCCCCGAGCCGCCTAATAAACCCCCGGCGTCCGCGCGCCCGTGACGCCTGGGCTGAAGTGGAGGAAGTGATTGGCCGCCATGGAGGATGAGCACCGTCGGGAGCCAACGGAACTGCGGCTGCGGGAGAGTGGGCGGGCACCGCAGCTTGGCGCCGGCCGGAAGCAGGGGCAGCTCGAAGGGGGGGAGGGAGGGGGTTCTTTTGCTTCGCGGTTCCTTTGGTTCGCGCCTCGCAGATGTGTGCTGTCGTTCTGAGCGTGAAGGGCACGAACCAGAGGCACCAGAAACGGCAGTCCCAGAGTTAGCACTGCCAACACCTTACGTGCTCAGATGCTGTCACAAGCACGGGTCACCAGGCAGCAACCTGAGCCCCAGCCAGGCTGCAGTGGCCAGTCAAAACAATGATCTCCAATAGTCTTCAAGCAAGCTTACGGGCTTGCTTGAAGCGTAAGCATTTCATTAGCAGCAAAAGCAGCCAAACAACTTGATCTCAGGCTCCAAGTCCAAAGTGTGTCCTGTTCAGA